CATGCTGGGTAGGTGGCTCCCTACCCAGGACAATGCGGGGGACGTGGGGACAATGGGGGGGACGCGGGGCTCACGCGGCTCTGCCGCAGACGCCATCCCCGCCATGCTGCGCTGCGACGACCGCCCCGTGCTGCAAGCCGTCTTCCTCAGCAACAACTGCTTCGAGCACATCATCCGCCTCATCCAGAACAGCAAGGTACCGCGGCTCGCCCCCCTTCGCTAAATCCATCTTTAACCCCATTTTCCAACGTGTCCGGCCCCGGGTGCCCTCCTTGCTTCCCGCTTCGGTTTGGGGACGCTCCTGAGCACTCGGATGCTCCTCGGGCTCCCGCTCCTCTCTCCCGCTGTCTCGCTGCGGGTTTGGGAACTGCTCTCTCCACGCTCTTTCCCCAGCTCTATCTCGGCAGCAAGCAGGAGGCAGATGGAAACCAGGACGAGCTCTCAGCACTGGGGCAGCCCACAGAGGTACCGCGTCCTACCCCCACGGAAACGGGGCAAATCCACCCAAATCTGGGTCTCCCGGATCCTGCGTGCTGAACACCTCTCCGCTCACCACGCAGGTGGTGGATAGCGATGCCGTGGCGGTGCACGCCATCGCCGTGCTCACCTCCATCATGAGCGACTCGCCGTCGGCCAAGGTGAGCAGGGACACCTCGTATCCGTGAGGGAGGCCGCCTCGGGCGCACGTGGAGGCCGCTGCAAGGGAGGCCGCCTGCCGCTCGCTCGCAGGAGGTCTTCAAGGAGCGCATCGGCTACTCGCACCTCTACGAGGTGCTCAAGAGCCAGGGCCAGCCCAGCCAGCGGCTGCTGCGCGCGCTCCTCGACATGGTGAGGCCACGCGCGTGTGTGCGCCCGCCTCCGTCCCTGCCTCCCCCTCGCCGCGTCGCCCCATTCCCTGCCTCGTCCCCATCCAGGCGGTGGAAGGCGACCACGAGTCCTTCCCGGCGCGCGCCATCCGCAACGAGCAGCCGCTGCTGGTGCTGGTGACGTGGCTGCCGGAGCTGGCGTCGCCGGAGCTGCAGGCGCTGGTGGCCGGGCGCCTGCGCCGCCTCTGCGCCGCCTCGCTGCCCAGCCGCCTGGCCTGCGTCGAGGCGGGCATGGTGACGCGGCTGCTGGCGGC